CTAGTGCAGCGCTCTACCAATTGAGCTAACAAGCCAACTGGGAGCAGGCCCTCAAATTAATTCGACATAAACCCGTAAGATGATAAATCAAACACAAAGAATATATGAAAGACATAATTTTTATATCTGAACTGCGGTTCTGAAACGTACATGTGTACAATCCTCGCAGTAAAGAAAATAAGAGTATTCCCAAAGATTTGAGAGCCTCTGGTACTACCTAAAATGCTGAACGTAATTTAAAATTAAGTTTATCAATCTCTATTAAATCAGTTCAACTTGACCACTGCTCTTTTCAGGCTTATGCATGTTTGGGAACTACAGAGCAGTGAGTGAGAAAAAGAGAAATACAAGAGATAGTGGCCTTTATTTGCTTGATAATTTGACTAAGGATTGCTAAAATTTTGTTTTTTATTTTCCTTTTTTTCTCAGCCTTTTGGTAGCTAAATTTTGCGACTTTTAGTCACAAAATATATTTTTCACTAGCCATGACAACTGAAACGGTTGCAACTTGGAACACTGTCATGTTTGGGGAGGTGTTCATCCACCTCTGTCCTTGTTGACCACTCTCAAAATTAAGATTTAGATGTTGTGCTAGGAGACTCTAATGCCCTGAGTTAGTGTTAAAATTTTAATGTTCAGTTGATGCCGACTAGAAAATGTTGAACAATCCAGTTCAACATATATCTGGCATGATCTCAGCTCATAGATTAGAAATATCACCTAAATGGTTTTCTGAGTGTCAACCTGAAAAAATCCTCCATTTCACTCTTGGATACTATGAAAATTTAATTACCAGTAATTTGTTTGAAGAAGAAGATCATCTGTCAACCTCCAGACAACAGCAATTTCATTGGAACCACAATACCCATTAGAGAACCGCAAACCCAAGGCATGTTAATCAATTCAACTCTACTTGTAGGGTTGGACCAGTTAGGTATTGAAGACAATTCACTCAAATGTTACTTTGTGTAGCTGCTGTTTTTTAATCTGATCTGTTATTTTCCAAATTGATCTACAGTTAATTTTAGCAAGCATTTCCATAAAATCCTCTACAATACGAAATATTAACAGCGTAAAAAACGATCCAAAATAACTCACTTTCGGCTCACATCTACTCCTTTGTTTTTGTCAAAGCGTCTGGAAAACTATAAATAACGGAGTCAAATCTGAACAGATTCAAAGTCTAATAATCTGATAAGTAAAAGCATATCTAAAACTATACAGGAAAGAGAAAGGTGAATGGCAAATCTAGAACCCTATATACAAGGCTGCTAAAAATCATTAAACAATGTCAGTGGCTCCCTCGGCAGCTGCGATTTCAACGTCACAGTTACATATAGTTAATAATAATAAAAATAATAAGCAGTGAGAAGTCAACCGAAGAGCGGCCTGTGTGATGCAATAGAAGCAGGATAAAGTGGACTGAAGAAATGAACGATATTCTCCTGGATTGTAAGAGTAAAGCCTAGGCGTTGGTAAAGTCTGAAAATGGCAGAAAGAAAGGTTACATGCATGTAATGAAAGAGCTATGGGACGAAGCGGGATTTGAGAACTTGGCTTTAACCAGCTAGAACTTGCGGGACCAAGCGGCGAGATTAGAAAAGTCTACTGGAGATGTAGGACATGTGATCTCGGTGAGCGTAAGGTTAAGAGGTGGGTCTGAGGAGGCCGATGGATAGGAAGGAAGTACTAGCGAAGTTAATGTTTGTAATATGCAAGCAACTAATTTTGTAATCAACCAGCATGAAAACGCAGATTTGCATACAGTAGCTGATGAGACTAGTCTCGAGGGACCAGATAGTGAGCTTAGTCAAGACACACGCGACCTCATTGACTCATCAAACTTAATTCTTGTTCGTGTAAACACCTCACCGGGAGAGTTTGGTGAACGTGAGTTTGATACGCGTATAAAAGAAAGACCGACTAAGCGCGACCTGGATAACATCAACCAGACAATAGCGGAGCTAATGAAGCAGAATCAAGCGTCCCCAGGGGAGAACCCATTCAGTTATATATGGATTGCAAACTGTGTTCTTTATTCTGTTGTAGTCGCTTTTCTAATAAACAAAGGATGGAAAAAGCAGCGTAGCGAAACTTTTGCCAGCAGTGCAAAACAAAAATGGAAGAGAGTGTATGAGGAGCAAGAGGTAGAAGTCAGGAAAAAGATATCGATCGCGCAGACTGAACTGGAGCATATTAAGGAGAATAGAAAAATAACTAAAAATGGCAAACGAAACCGTGCTGCCCTGAAAAAAGAATGCAAGGGCCGTTCAGCGGCAAAATTAGCAAGCTTCATCGTAAAGCAGAAAGCTAAACTTCGAAAATTGAAAAGGGGGTTTTCTAGGAGTCAAAAGAATGATGAAGCGAGACTCCTTAACCAGCAGTTCCAAGCCGATGCTTGCAAGGTCTACGCACATAGCGCGAATTGCTTAATAAGGACAAAGAGGGTGAACGACCTAGATACACAATGAGTGATCAGAATACACAAGAGGGGAGAATAATATTTAACAACGTAGAGGAAGCAAGTGAATATTGGAGGAATTTATGGAAAAGCGAAGGAATAGGAGACAAATGTGCTTCTTGGCTGGCAGAGATTAGATCTGCCATCCAAAGAAGGGTACCCCACCGACCAAGGACGACTGGGACTTGGATCCGGCGGTTGCAGCAAAAGTGCTAGCCAAGAAAAAGAACTACAGTGCACCGGGCCCAGACCGCCTAGCGAATTTTTGCTGGAAGCGCGCAGTGTCTCTACATGTGGGTGTGGCAACTGTGTTCCAGGCGATCTCAAGTATTCATGGAGAGTACCCTCTGTGGTTCTCAGAGGGGAAAACGTCGTTGATTCCCAAACCTGGGGAGTTTACTTGTGATAATCAACAACCGATCACTTGTTTGAACATCGTTTACAAATGGTACACATCATGTCTACTTGTCCCCACTGACAAGCATCTGGACGGTTACGATCTGATGGAGGGTGGCAAAGGGGTGTGCGTGCGGGATGTAGCGGTACAATGGACAATCTATCAATAGATCGAATGGTTACCTTGGATTGCGACCAAAACAAGCGCAACCTGAGCATGGGATGGGTGGATGTGAAAAAAGCCTATGACTCTATCGACCATGGCTGGCTACAGGAGATGATGATAATCTACAGGTTTCCCACCTGGCTGTGCAGAACCATTAAGAATCTGTAAAGAAGCTGGAGTACTAGAATTGTAGTCAACACCAGACGCCCTCTGCCCCAGGCTCCTCACGATCTGCCTGAACCCGATAGCCTGGAAGATAAGCGCATCTAAAGGGTATAGGCTATCTCTGAAGGGTATAGGCTATCTAAGCCCATCGGCACAACGGTCATTGACGTTCTTTACATCGATGACCTGAAGGTCTTCGCAGCATCTGAATCCAAGCTAAGCAGAGTCATGAAATCGGTGAGGGCAGCAGTGGAGGATGTGGGGCTCATATGGAATCCCAAGAAATGTGCCGTGGCTTACTTCAAGAGGGGCGTCTGCGTTGCTGAGAGTACTGGCCTGCCGATGTTTGATGGGAAGGTAAAGATACCAATGCTCGAGGATGGTTAGCAGTACAAGTTCTTAGGTGTGCTTGAGAGTCTTAGGCAAGAAGAGAGGATAGTTTTGCAATGCGCTGCCAGAGAGTATTTGTGTAGTTGTCTGTGATCTGGTCGAGACCCCTCTTGGATTACCGTCGCGTGATAGCATCCAACCAATTTGCTCTGCCAGCAATGTCTTACCTCATATGGACACAGCACTGGCCAATACCGGAATTGAGACAGATGGATAGAGATGCCCGCAAAATCATAACAGAGAGCGGAGGAAAGCATCCTTGTGGTACAACATCCCTGTTATACCTGCCCCGCAATAAGGGGGGAGAGGCCTGCGTTCCGTTGAGAAGGAGTACAAGGAGACAAAAGTTAAAGCCGCAGTCAAGTTGTATCAGAACAGAGACCCGGCCATGAAGATGGTGAGAGAGTTTGAGGGGCAGGTGGAGAGTAAAGGATACCTGTCAATGACGAAGGAAGCGGGAGAAAGTATGCAGAAGAGTGCGGCCTGCAGTTACAGCTTAATTATCCTGACCCAGCCTGTGTTACAGAGGAAGGTGAAGTTGTATACAGGGATAAGTTGGAGACTCGCCTAACAAAACTTCGAGAAGCAAGAATGGAGGGGGCAGTTGAAGAACAAAAATGGCAAGGAAAATTGATAACAGCCAGAAAAGAAGGCGGAGATCTTAACACCGAGCAATGCTTCTGGTGGCTCAGTAAATGGCGAACATGCCCAACACACACCATTGCAGGTATGTTTGAAATTTATGAACAGCTTTTACCAACAAGACTGTACGCCATTCACAAGACCCAGGCGAGTCCTACTAGTGATCCTACCTGCAGGCTGTGCGGTACAGCACCTGAGAGCATGGCTCATGTACTCTCCGCTTTTCCTGCGTTGGCCCAAACAAAGTACCTGGTAAGGCATGACGCGGTTTTCAAGTCCTGTTTTTTGACATCATAGAAGACCCTGGACTTATTGAAACGTCTCCACCGTGGTATTCACCAACTAAGCCACAGCTGGTATATGAGGGAGCGCATGCACAAGCATTCTGGGATGTCCCACTCCACGGAGAGTTCCAAGATCTTAGGGCCAACAGAGTCGATGCGAGAATAGTAAACCACCAGGAGAAGAAGGTTATAGTGATGGAGATGAGCTGCCCCTGGGTGAGCAATCGTCAAAAGAAAACATCAGAAAAGACGATGAAATACGCGTCACTCAGATGGGAGATGAAGCAGAAGTACCCCGGGTACGACATTTCACAGTACAACATCATTGTGGACGTACTCGGATGCTGGTCGACAGAAGTGGAGGTAGCGTTGAAGGAGTTAGTTGGGAGGCGTCAGAGAGATGTCCTCAAGAAGATGCAAAGGGCATGCCTATCCGTCACACTGAACATTGCATGTACTTTTAAGGTTGCGATATTTCGAACGTTAGCTTTTATAATCGTAACACTGGCCAATTTACCATTTAACTTTGTTGATATAATCAAATTATAATATTCAATATAAGTTTGCCGGTATTTTTTTTTTACCTCTTATCTGATCAACCGTAGCAGAATTTGTATTTCCTATCTTTTTTTTTGATCGAGTACATGCGCAATGCAACCTCTGGAGCTCCATATCTGTGATGAATTGTGAAACACAAAATTGTGGGAGGAAGATAAATTAAGTTCTGACTGAATTCCAAAGGTTTCCTGACCAAGACAGGAGTACAGAGGCAGATCCTCTATAATGAGATCATTGCTTATCACACTTATCACACTTATCACGCTTTGTAGGTTCTGTAGGCATTATTGTTGGTGCAGTGTGTGGATCAGTTGCTGCACTGGCTGTTGCTGGATTATTAGTGTGGTGGGCGTGCAGGAAAAGGAGGCGCAACAGACAATGCACTGAAGGTAAGGTTTGCATTAATATTATGCCCTCAATTGATTTCCTAGAAATTAATCTTCAATAATTTTCCTTTCCTCCAAAGCTCACTGTCCGCTGCGTCATGATCTTTACTTATTTGAGCAGTATCTATATTTTTAACAGACAGCTTTAATGTTGTGATGTTTTGTTGTTATCTATTTTGTTGTTAGCTAGTTATAGTTACAAGTTCGCGCTTGAAGTTACATACTAAAAGAGAAAGATAAATTCTGCTTGATGCCGATCTTTTTTTTGTTTTTGTTTTCTCTCGTTTTGCTTTTTATTTTTCTTTTGTTTTCGTTTATGTACTACAGAGGTGGCGATGAGCGGAAGGTGAGACTTGCATAAGATGTTACTGTTTACTTGCGTTGTTTCTACATGGCTTGACCTTTTTTTACGGTGATTTTAACACCCTCGCGGTGTTTCATGTGCATGTTTTTGATTAATCCAAAAATTATAGATCATGTTGAAAACTTGCTAGCGTTAAGCAACCCTTGAAATATCACTACACGTTTAGACCATAGATGTTATGGTTGTCTATTGTGCCATCACGAACATATTAATGATCTGTAGAAAAACTTTTGAATCAAGAACAGCAACAAGTTATAACTATATGAATCAAAGTTTATATACAAGATCACCGTGTGTTACTTCAGGCCTAGGTAACAGTTTTCCAGAGTCCTCAATTAGTAGAGGGATCTTCACTTGGCAATCTCACAATGACTTATGAATAAAGGGCTACCGTTCCATTGTTGCTATTAGTAATGGAAATAGGACCGAGTTGAGTCCAATTTGGTCTGTAATCATACGAGTGATTGGGGGAGTCGGATTTGTTAATTTGAAATATTAGGAAAAACAACGTGAACTCGGCGAAATACACGACAACAGCGCACGCACGACATGAATTATCCAATAGCACCGTCGAATGACAAGCATGATGCGAACACTGTCCTATTAGTGCTGAAATCGGGGCTGGTGATAACCAAAAACGTTGGAGAATTTTACAGTTTTGATCATAAACAATTATTGGATGAGGTTTTTGTGATATCCGGAATAATCAAGGTCTCGGTTAGTGTTATCAGCCTCAGGCTTCGGCTGATAACACTTACCTCGATATTCTGGATATCACAAAAACCTCATCCAATAATTGTGTTATTATACGTTGTTTTAAAGAAAATAACGCCAAACGCATTATCGCAGCGAACACCGTTTATTTTCGAACACTTAAAAATGTACAACTGTGTGGTAAACAAATTTTCACTTGGGCTATTTCCTATTTTTCGTGTGGCTCCTGGATATTTTTCTGGTTAAGGTATTCGTAGAACAGTTCCTTCGCCACTTTTGTCGATCTTTTAGTATTTTCCGAATCTTTTTCTTCAAGTAATTTCTCAATTTCTTGTTGGGTCGATGAAGCGAATCGAGAAGCCATTCTTACTTCGCTGTCCGTGGACTTGACATTTCTTCACCGGAAATCATGCTTTGCGCTGTTTCCCAGAATTAACTGTGGGCGTTTAGCCAATGAGAAGGCAGATGGTGACTACAATGTATAATAGTTATTATTATTATTATTATTATTATTATTATTATAACTCTTATCATTATCATTATCTATATTATCGTAGTATTATCATGTTTGGAAAGTACTATTTTACAAGGATGGGTCAGTAGCGACAGTTACCGTAGTATTTCTGGTCGAAGAAAAATTGTAGGGCCTCCAGAAAGAATTTTCTGTTAATCTGACTATGACACTATGATCGTTTACTAAAAATTTAGAAGGTTTATGCAGGTAAAATATTTTTTCTTCGATCGCAGAAGACCAATTTCAGCTCGTGATACTTGTCTCCAATGCTCCGGTTAACTGGGGGAAATGAAACTTTTAATGCTTGAATGCAGAGGACGCGAAACCCTCTCTTAAGACAAACATATAAGAAACTCAGGGCAAGTCTACTCTGCTCATTTGGTCTGACTGTAGCCGATCCTATATCTTGTTTCCAGCTCCTTTTCTATCTGGACTAAGCTGTCTGGAAAGGTTTTCCGTCATTATGTAATTTCAGTCAGGGAGAATTGGGTTTGTTTTGTCATGTATTTGAATTGCTGTTTCAGATCATTTGGAAATTCAAGCAATGAGACAAGGGGAAATACAAATGTAGGTCTTGTGGTCTTGTGGTCTCGTAGGTCGTAGTTCTGATACCCTATACCTTCATATAGGTATATCTTCTCGTAGTTCCAGGTGCGATTTGTTTTTACGTTGCTGTTTGTGCTGAAAGTCTTCCCACTGTGGATGGCAGTTTACCCGAACCCAGAGTGTTATGCCCCATACAGATTTTAAGTCGATCATTTCTTGATATTTTGAAATAAATCTATGTAAATATCTGCGCATGTGAAAATAACACTGTTACGGTAGGTACATAATAAATCGCACCTTTCGTGGCGAAAGTGAAATGAATTAGTGTTTCAGTCATTGGTGTTTCTATGATAAATAGAATATTACATGGCTGCTTGGAGATACGAAAATTCTCTTCTATTATTAAAAAAAAATATTTCACGAGTGAGTGAAGCGAACTGGGAAATAGTTTTCCACAATCAATAATTTTGTCTCCAAGATTGCAGTCAAATTGCCTAAACCTTCTGAAAGCCATTACATGGCACTGGATGATAGAACTCGTTCACAAGTGACGGTAGATACCAGTCCACTCAGCAGTGAACAAATCAGCGAGTATGCCTCTCTTAATCAATACACACTTTCCTGGGAGATTGCTAGAGAAAATGTGACGGTGAGGCAGATAGTTGGAAAAGGTGCTTTTGGGCAGGTCGCCAAGGCAACAGTCGTTAAGCTACAAGGAAGAGCCAAGAAGACACTCGTAGCTGTTAAAATGTTGAAAGGTAGGAAATGAATAATCAGGTTTACTTGGTAATTGAACTGACCTACGAGTCTGTCCAAATTGTTCTGTTTTGTTTCAATTTGTTTTTGCTTTGATTTTGATAATATGCTTTTGCATCATTTCCGAGCTCTTGTTTAGAGTAATCACATTCTTTATGGCTGGTCCGCAGTCATATCCATAGCCTTAAGCAGTCAACTCTAAATGTTTGTTTTTGTTCTAGTTGATGTAGCCATCAGTGGAATTTTAAGATGAAATGTATATTTTTCTTCTTAAATGACGGTTACATTTTAGAACCTCGCTGCTTTACATTCACGAATAATAGCGCCTCAAATGTGATGCATGGTTGGGTGGAATGATATCTATATATCTATTTGCCCGTCCGTCCGTCCGTCCGTCTATCCATCTATCTTTTTACCCATCTGTCCATCGAGGAATTTATTTATCCATCTGTATACGTTTATCTGTGTAATGATACAGATGAAAGATATGATTGTGATGTTATGTGAAATGTCTTTTTGACGATATTGATCGAAAATCATGTTGCAGAAAACGCTTCTGAATCAGAGAAAAAGGATTTGTTATCTGAACTTGAATTAATGAAACAACTCAAACCTCATCCTCACGTCATCAAACTTCTTGGATGCGTCACCAAATCTGGTAAATAAAGGCGGGAATGTTCATCATCAGACTACGATTAGGCAAAATTAGGTTTTAAAAGTATCG